TCTGTATTTAATCTGAGAAATGGGAATCAGAAAAGTAACTACTCCATAGATTTGAGATGCGGAATTTCTAGCATATGGTAAAGTATTCAGTAGATGAATAAAATAAGCAGCCCTGCCTTTTCTAAGTGCTCCTTATCAAAGCCACATTTGCCATTGAGCTGGGCTCTCGGGAGAAGAAAAGCCTTTCCTGGGTACCAACAGAACACTTTTCTCTCACCTGGTCCCTTTTCTTTCCATCTCCCTGCAGGCCCAGGAGGGCTCTGGCATCAGGGGCTGTTCTCCAGCAGAACAGGGTCTCTGCCCAGCGCTTCCCCAGAGACAAGGACTTAAGACGTGGCTCCTCTGGGTGAGCCCACCAGAGCCTTACGGGACTCCTTATCAGAAGTCCAGACTGCTGCCTCTTGCAGATAATGCTGTTAATTTTCTTCCGTTAGCTCAATTCTGGGCAACATTAACATTCTGCGGCCAGGACAGACATTTAGGATCAAGCTTGCTCCAGAAGGTCTGACTTGGAAACCAGCTGGTGTCCAAGTAGTGAATCCTCAGCATGGCCCTAGCTTTGTGCTGAGCTCTGACCATATGGTCCCCATGGTACAGATGAGAAAACCGAGCCTGAGGGAGCTCAAGTGACTTCTCTCAGGTCACACAGTGATAGTTGGGAGTTGAACCCAGGGTCCTCTGGCTCCAGGGCCTGTGTTTCTAATTCAGACTTGTGGGCCTTTGGAGCACCAAGAGGTGGCCTCTGCTGAAGCATGGCTGGGCTCTCCCACTTTTCCCCAGGAGTCACTAGAGGGTGAAGCTCTGAGCTTCAGAAATCTGAGGTCCACATGAAACGTTCCTTCCCGGGTCCCTGCTTCCAAGAGTCACCATCGTTAGTTGAAGTCTCCACTAACTAGTCTTCTCTGGAGCCCAGAGCTTTGGCTGTTTCGTTCCTACCCACTGTTTTCTCCCTTCTGGTTGGGCAAGAAATTTAATATCATCTCCCACTTTCCAGAAACATCCCGGCTCAGTGGTCAGGGGCAGCCTGTTAACATGACAATGCACAGTGGCAGACAGGACTCCTAAGAGGGTGTGGGGACACCTGCACCATCTGTCCTTTCCCTGCTAGAGAGACGAGGGTAGCCACAGTACCCAGAAGCCTAAAGCCTGACTTAGCAACAGTAATAGTAAGTGAGGTCTTAACATTGGACTTGACAGTCCAGGAAGCAAGACCACTTGTTTTCTCCCCATTCACCCTCTGATAACCTCCTGTGGTCCGAGTTGTTACCTCACCCTCCTTACAGATGTGACTCAGGGAGACCAAGTGACTCCCTCAAAGTCACACAACTAGTCAGTACGACCCAGGTGTCCTGGCCCCCGTGCCCAATCTGCACTCATTCCTGGTAGAATCCACGGTCTCTCTGCTGCTCTGCCACTACTCCTTGACCCACTTCAACCCTTCTTTGGGCCCAGCTCAACTCCACTGTCACCTCCTGCACCCAGAAAGTCCCCAGCGTGGTGAACAGCATCCCTCTGGGTCTGGGGTCCTCTGAGACACAGCAGCCTCTCTCACCCCCTGAGCCATTTGTCCTGTGAGCCCTGGGAGCTGCCAATCTGGGAGGATGTCTGACCCTGTGGATGGCCACCAGAGCTCTTCTCATGAAGGAAGTGACCACACAGAGATCTGTCTGAGACTGGGGTTTCAAGTGGAAGAAGAGAGGAATGTGGGCTGTGGCTGCCGCCCATTCATCCCTGTGGCAAATGTGCTATGTGCCAACCCACACTGGACATCAAATGCAAATCGGACACCATCCTCACTCAAGGGGCTCATGGGGGAAACCTGTGGTTCTGCTCTCAGGTGTGTACTGGCTGCCCCAGAGCGCTGATGTAGGTTAACTCCCTCAGAGGGCCAGGTTCATGGGCCGGGAGTCTGGGAAAAAGAGCCTCCAGATGTACTTTTCCCCACAGTGCGGAGCAGTCCTGCCCTGAGCCCCAGGCGCTCTGCCAGTTGCTTGGTATCCTTGGGATTTTCCCAGCTGCTCAGCAGAAGTTGGCCCAGCCCCATGAAAGAGATCCAGGTGGTTCCCAAGAACAGGGAACCAAGCAGTGAAAGAGCTTCTGTCCAGCAGGCGTGGGAGTGAATAGCCCAGGGCCAGGCCCCTCAGCTGATGGCTACTGACTGAGATCAGTGCACACAAGGCTCCAACCCTAAGCTGTGCTGATGACACCTTGAAGTGTCCACTCCAGGGCCATCTTGTCTCACCTCACTAGGGGGAGGAGGTCTCATGATAGAGATGGAAAGTCATAGAGTGTTCTCATGGGAAGGGAAAGGGAAATGACCTGCCCAGAGTCACACCATATGGCAAATACCAGACTAGAATAAGTATGGCTTCTAACTTCTCTGTAAGGAAATACAGTTAACCAACCCAACCCTCTTAAGGCTGGGGCAAGATGAAGTGAACAAAAATGCCCAGAACTCAATATTAACAAACACCGGCAGGTATGTGTTGGGGGTGGGGGTGGGGCACATTGGGAAGGAGCAGGCCCATGCAGCTGCAAGGGCCATGCATGCCAAGTCCCAAAGGCAGGCCCCAGCGGCCCAAGACAGGCAGAGACACACGCCCAGGCCTAAAGGCTTACAGGTCAAGTTACACTGAAGGTGCAGTTAAGACCTCAAATCCCTCCCCAAAGTCTGGGGCTTAGAGCTCACCAGAAATTTCAAGGTAGGTATTCAAGCCTCAAGATTTTCATTTTGTTAATTTCCTCTGATTATCCATAGGCAGCTCTAGCCTAGGAGCTTGAAGCAAAACTTAGCCTCAGTGGATACCTAGGAAAGATATCCACAGGTCTGGGATTCCAAACACCAGGGAAAATTAGCACTTTCTTTTAATCATCTCCCCCAGGGTACTAGGATGCAGTCTGGAAGCATCTACTCAGCTCCTTACCTGGGCAGCCTATTTCTACTGTGGGCAACTGAGGACAGGGACTGGACTTTATTCATCTTTGTCCCCACAGGCAAACCTGCATTAAAGTTAAATGTTTCTGGGAGGAGCCTGAATTTGAATAAGGGGTGGAAGAATTACAAAGGTACCTGAAGATTTTGTACTGGAGATATGCTTAATTGATACGGAATCTAATTAGGAAGGCCAAACCCAAGATACCTGTAAAGAAGAAAGCAAATTACTAACAGCTTATCCTAAAAAAGCAAAATTTATTAAGAATGAAAGGAAAGAGATAGGGAAGAGGGAGATGTCTTAGATAAAACCAGGGAAGTTTTTTTGGAACAAAGAAGACTTAAGGTGTGAGTTCAGGAGGCAAGTTCCTGGAATTCCAGGAACGGTGGAAGGCTTCCACCTGGGAGCAATGTGAAGGAAAGCCCCAGTGGAAAGGGACCCAATGAAGGCCACGTGTGCCCAGAGAATGGCCAGTGCCTTCTTTGGGTGATCTCATTTAATACTCACCCCAAGGGTTTCAGGAGGCAAGTTCCTGGAATTCCAGGAACGGTGGAAAGCTTCCACCTGGGAGCAATGTGAAGGAAAGCCCCAGTGGAAAGGGACCCAATGAAGGCCATGTGTGCCCAGAGAATGGCCAGTGCCTTCTTTGGGTGATCTCATTTAATACTCACCCCAAGGGGGTAGGCAGAGTCTGCTGTTTCCATTTTACAGATATAGAAGCTGGTGGATACCAGTAAATGGTACAGCTAGAATTCCAAGCCAGAGGTGCCTCCAAACCTGCCTCTCCCCGTGTTCTATTGCAGCTCCTATTTCTTTTGAGGACATCTTCCACCTTCGCCCCAGGTCAATGACAACAACCTACTCTGTTTGCTGGAGGCTTTGTGTTCGGAAAGGCCTTTCACACCTAGTATCTCATTCATTCACAACCTCCACGGGAGGCTAGTAGATGCATCCCATGCTCCTGGACACAGAAGGAGAGCCAGACCAGCAGGGTTTGGGGAGGTGGGGGCCAGTGTCTCCCCCATGATAGATAATCCACCCAGGGTTTGAACCCATGTGTGACTGGTTCCCAAGTTGCTCTGAACCCCACTTTCTCATCTAAGTACCTACTTTTGGATTTGATTTTCACCTTAGGACCGGAGTGGCCGCACTATTAAATCTCCAGAGGAGGTCGCTTTCTGCATCAGAGGGAAAGAGGGCAGTGAAGTCTCGGGAAAGCAGAGTGTTTCACCCAGTGGGAGCTGAGGAGGCTGAGGGACCCCACCGCCACATTGGGGAAAGGGAGTCTGGAACCTCTGCCACCTCCACCTCCACTTCCTTTGAAAACCAAGGTGGAACGGGGCTGCAAATGGCAGGGGAAATTTCACGTCGTGCTGTGTCACAGTCCTTTTGTTGAATATTTCACCGCTGGCATTCATCACTTTGGCAAGGATCATTTACAACTGGGAACTATTCTTCTAAAAGTAGAATAGAGCCCAAGCCCTGCTTCTCATGGGATTCCGGCTTTGGGACGCAGGAGCTAAACCCCCTTGAAGTTCACTTGGAAAACAACTTAGCCTCCGCAGATCCTTGGCGGCAAAGGCCACAGACTTGGGAATGTAGGGCGATCAAAGACAGGTCCCCCGGTCCTGCCCGTCCCTCTCGTATCCAGTACAAGTCTGGAATGCAATCAACGAACTTGGCAGAGCCGGTCCACCCGCTGCCGTCAGTTCTGCGGGTCCGGGAGGGAGCAGGAGTGGGAGACGCCACCCAAGCTGGGGTTACTGGTTTCTTGCCATTCCTCGCAATGGGGAAGAGCCTTCAGAGAGCCTCGCGCCAGGCCTCCGGTGAGAGTCCCCAGGCCGAGCACAGAGGTGGGGTGCGCCCCAGACCCAGGCTGCTCCACATGGAGCCGGGGGAGCCTCAGGCTTTCAGATTTGAACCGAGGAGGCCGAGCGGCCGGGCTGAGGTTCCCGACGGCCATTGGCTGCGGCGGCGCCGTGACATCAGCGCGGAGGGGTGCGGGAGGAGCCTGGAAGGGGAGTGTCCGAGCGGCTCCCAGCCCCGAAAGCCCGAGAGCGAGAGGGAAACAAACGCCGGCGCTGACATGGGCCGCCGCGCGGAGCCCACGGAGGAGAGAGCGCAGTCGCGCGGGCCCCGCGCTGGGGTCTCCGGGGACCGAGGTACGCACGGGCACCCGCTTCTGACCGTGGCAGCCGCCCCGCCCTGCGAGGCCTGGGTGGGCTCGAACCCCCGTATGCGGCGAAGAGGACTGAAAACGCCGGGGATGGGGGCCGCGGGGCGGGGAGAAGGGCGCAGAGACCCTCAGTCCTCGGCGCCCGCCCGGGTGGCGGGGCTGTGGCCAGGGCGCGTGCGGCGCGGCTCGGGTGCCTGGAACCCAGAGCCGCGCACCGTGTGTCCCAGCAGAGCGGGTCTGGCCAAGGGCGCTGCGAGGGGTGGGGCGCGGGTGCCGGCTGGGGAAGGTCCACCCCCTTGCCCAGGAATGGGGTGTGTGTCGTCGTGGGCCGGCGCGCCACGATCGGCGGCGCGCAGCCCGCGCTCTCCCCGTGGGGGGCGTGTGAGCGCACGGAGTTCTCCATGAACCAAAACCGAATTCTTCTCCTTGTAGTGGCGGAGGCGTGTACACGCGCTCTCGCTGTCGTACACACACTGCAGCACACGCCACCCAGTGTCACGGGCTGGGAGAAAGAAGGGTAGGCGCTGCCAGGAAGGGAACGGCCAAGGGAACGGCCAAGGAAACAACACCCCCCGCCCGCCCCGCGAGCCCTTCCCTTCCCTCCCCCGGCTCCCG